ACAATATTTTCCCTCTCTTTTTTAATCCCCTCACTGTTGTGGAGCTAAACAAGCTTTGCACATTAGAAGGTGAGGTCCACCTGCAACCAAATAGAGAAAAAAACCAACACCAGATATCTGAAACAAAAGGGCAAGAAACAAACAAGTGATAACAGCTTTCACCATTCTTCTTACATAAGATGCACTAGTGCGGGGATAAACACCAATTAGGCCTTTTCTTTTGAAGTAAGTCACAAGTGTTACACTTTTCTAGGCATGCTTCCCAGCAAAAAGTGCCTACCCTAGGAGGAACTGGACTAGGCTATGTCAGTGCTTTGAAAAAGGAGGAGCAAGAAAAGATACCCGAAGGGACAAGAGACCATACCCTGTAGTCCCCAATTGAAGGCTCAAGGACTACCTCATTCAGGATCTCTAAGTGCCCTTCTAAAACCCAGGTTCCAACCTATAGTAGAGTTAGACATGGTAGCAAAGGTGGCTACAGGTTCGCATTTAAACCTAGACAGAGCAAACAAAGAGGGAAACTGCTCTTTCAAGGGGGAATCCCCCACCCAAATGTGTTCCAAAAAATTAACTGACAAGCTAGAACCAAGATCATACCTGATGAAGGGAAGAAAAGATTGAAGGATGGCATGGATCGACTTCCACGGAGAAGCTCTTGAAGCCTTAGATGAGAGTCTGGATCCTAGCCAGTTGCCTCTTGCCCATGAATACTTATGATTATTTTGGCCCACAGGTTCTCCCTTTCTTTAGACCACCTCCATAACCATTTCCCTAAAAGAGCTACATTCTTCTTTTGGATGTTTCCTAGCCCCAGACCCCCTTCACTTTTGGGTCTTGTAACTAGATCCCACCTAACTCTATGGTCCCTTTTTTCTTCCTCGGGTTCCCATAAGAAGTCCCTCATCAGTTTTTCCAACACCCTACAGACTCCTTCAGGCATTTTGAACACAAACATGAAATAGACTGGAAGGTTTGCCAATGTTGACTTAATCAGTGTAATCCTACCCCCCAGAGACAAGTAATTCTTCTTCCAAGAAGCTAGCCTTTTAGTGAATCTGTCAATCACTGGATTCCAAAAACTCCTTTTTCTAGGATTATCTCCTAAAGGAAGCTCTAGATATTTCAGTGGCCAATGAGCTATCTCACAACCTAGCACTTGAGCCCTTTCCTCCACCTCTCCCTCGCTCATATTAATACCAATCACACAACTCTTACCAAGGTTTACTTTGAGGTTGGTCATTAGTTCAAACACCTTAATCACCTTCTTCAAGTTTCTCACCCAACTAATCTCCTCTCCATCACAAAACAGAATTTTGTCGTCTGCAAATTGTAGGTGGGTGACTGGAACCCTACCCTCCCCACTTTCCATCCACTAATCAAGCTCCTTGAATCTGCCCTCTCAATCAGCCTCCCTAACACTTCAGCAATTAGGGTAAAGAGGAAGGGGGATAGAGGGTCTCCTTGCCTAATACCCCGAACAACTGGAAAGTGATCCACCATCCTGCCATTCATTAACACAGAATAATGACAAGTCCTCATGCACCCTTTTATCCACTTGCACCATCTCTTCCCAAATCCGAAAGACTCTAAAACCTCTAATAGCAAAGACCAATCCACCATGTTATATGCCTTCTCTAAATCTAGCTTACACACCAACCCCTTCTCACCTCTACTTCTATAGTCCTCCACAATTTGGCGATTCATCACAAAAGCACCTTGATTGTGGGAAATAATTGAGGGGAGCACCTCTCTAATTCTTCTAGAAAGCACCTTAGCAATAATCTTGTAGAGGGTATTAATCAAACTGATGGGTCTGAATTCTTTAGGGTGACAGGCTCCTTCAGTCTTCAGAATTAAAGCTATAAAAGTAGAGTTCAGGCCTGGGTTTATCACACCTCTTTCGAAGAAGTCAGAGAACACAGCTTGAATATCATCCTTAATTATCTCCCAACAATCCTGATAAAAAGCCAACGTGAAATCATCAGGTTCCGGGGCTTTAGATCTATCCATGGAAAAAATGGCATCCCTGATTTCTTCCAGGCCAAACTCTCTTTCCAACCACACAATCAACTCATCAGGGAGCTTAGGCCAATCCAATCCGTTAATCCTTAATCTCTTAAACAGAGGCTTACTGAAGATGGATTTAAAGTGCTCCACAAAAGCCTCGGCAATCTCATGCTGTTGAGTCAAAACTGTCCCATCAACTACCAACTTAGATATGGCGTTTTTCTCTCCTGCTATTGGCAATTTCATGGAAAAATTTTGTGTTCCTATCTCCTTCCTTCACCCATTTATGTCTAGATTTCTGCCTCCAACTGATCTCTTCTTGGAAAATTGTGTCCTCCAGGCTCTTCCTTAACTCCCACCTCTGTTCTTTATCACTTTCCCCAAAACAACCCCTTTCTTCCTTAGCATCTAACTCCTCTATCTGGCTTATCAACTGCTGCTTCCTCTCCTCTATCTTTTAACTTTCGGGTTACTTTCATTCCACCAACTTTTCACCTTGTTTTTGAAGTCCGGGTGAGGTAACCACATGTTTTCAAAACTAAAGGGGGAGGGTCCACTACCACCAAAATCAGACTTACAAATCATTATTGGCCAATGGTCGGAAGTAACTCTGGGTAAGGTCCTTGACACCAAATCTCCCCAATGCTCCTCCCAGCCTGTGGTGAACAAGAACCTGTCTAGTTTTGAGCAAATAGGTTCAGCTTGGAGATTGGACCAAGTGAAGCTATTGTCTTTCCTTGTTACTCTCTTCAATGAATCTAATCACATTAAAGTCCCCTCCTAGACAGGCCCCTCCCACAGTCCTCTGACATCTTCCAGTTCCTCCCACAACTCATTCCTCTGTTTATAACTATTGGGGCTGTATACATTGGTAAGGGCCCATTCAAAACCATCTGACACATGCTTAAATTTAACCGAGATTGAGAACCTACCCACTAATTCTTCCACTCCCTCCACTACTTCATCCTTCCACAAAATAATTAGGCTACCAGATGAGCCCCAAGATGGACTCATAGCCCAACTTAGACCATTCACTCTCCACACACTCCTAGCCCACTTTTTATCAAATGTCATAAGCTTAGACAGAGTCCCCTCTTTGCATGCCTAAGTTGTTGGATACTTGGATTTTTATTCTCTGAGATGTGGCAATGTCTTCAGTATGGTTATCTGATATTTTGTGGGTATGACATGTTTATTGCTAATTCCTTCAACAACATCAATTACCCAGGTTATATGCTTTGGTGCTTCATGGCCCACCAAAGTTGAAAGTTGAAATCATTTGAGGAACTATTAGTTTAATTCATTATGAACAGGCAGTCTTTGTATTTGGTGTAGTTTTTTATTTCCCTTTCCAGTTTTTTTTTTCAACAACAAACTACAGGGGAAAATACATATTGTATTTAGCTGATGCATCTCTAGTCTTTCAGACAGTAATTATGAGCTTTATACTTTTAGGAGCTTCTGTATGGATCTTCAGGACCTTGAAGTATGTGAGTTCATCAATATTTTCATTTTAGGCCAGCAACATATAAAAGCATTTTATTAATGAAAAGTGAGAAAATATTGGACTGGGCCTTGGAGGCTGGCTTACTTCCTTCTAAAAATTTCACATCTGGCTGTTCATCTTGGTTGCTATTTCAGATGGATGTCAAAAGAACTTAACCAGAAGAGGCTGATTCCTTAGCTAAGTCAGGATTGCAGAGTAACTTTTTGTATGGTGCAAATGGATTACCTGATTGTTGGAGAGGAATTGTACATCTTCTCATGTACATCTTTTTTTTTTTTTTTTTGCCTTGAACGAAATAGTTACTTTTTCTAAAAAAACATGCTTATTGCATGATTTTTAAAATGGAAAAGGGGCTTCCACTTTGTCAATTTCTAAAACTGGATTACATTGTGCACTATATCTTTCTAGAAATTATGTTTTATGCTTTATCCTTATCTTTGGGGATTTATTCTGAAGGAAAATTTTGCTGAATTATTTTTTTCCAGGTCTATTACAAGTTCAACAACCTTTCTTTGCTTAGGGAGCCGATGATGTTGGTTTTTGGATTTTTCTTCCTTTTTGTTGCATGCATTGTATACATGCATGCTGATATGTCAATCTCCAAATCTTCTGCTTCCTACTTGGCAAAACTACAGTGGGATGAGGTATGTAGAATCTTATTCCAATCTTGAAGTATTAATTAGAGATTTTCTTTTTTTTTTGTCTAAAAGGCCCTTCCATTCCTGTTCTTGGCTGTACTCTTATTTCAGGTGCAAGCAGCGGTTCAGCAAGTTCAGAACAACATGAACCGCTGTTTAGCAGTGCATGATAAACTGGAAGCATCATTACGTGATCTCTCCAGGACCGGAGATGTTCAGGCTTGTAAAGCAGCACGCAAAGCAGCTGATGGTTTGTTGAAGGAGTTGTCCAAGGAGTTGAAGCCCTTGCTTGGTTTTTTGCAATCTTCTCCACAGGCTGCTCAGCTATGGCCCAAGGTTTGATATGTTTCTATTTGATGTCATTCTTTTTTGCTTCTAATTTGTGCCTTAGGCTCTGTTTGGAAGGAGTATAAATACAAATATGTAGAGCACAAAACCTTTTTTTTTTATATTATTTTGTATGTATTTGTACAGTACATATTTGTATTTGTACTGCTTCCAAACTGAGCCTTAGTTGATATAACTTGCAAGTTCTTGCCCTATTTAGATTGATGTTAGCTCCAAAATTGCATTGACTTTTGATCAAATGAGTTGTTTTTGGATGGTTGAACTTCTTGTGCATTGCATGTCTCAGCATTGTCCTCGTTTAGCTATGGTTTATTCTAGGAGTAATTGACTGGTTGGCTACTCCAGTGCAGTGCCCCTCAACATAGGAAAGCCCTGTACTTTTAACAGAATTTATAAGATTATGACTTTGTGACTTGCTTTGTCCTCGTACTAAGAGCCACATGACTATTCTTTTTTCTCTCAACTTGGAAAATACCACCTTTTAAGAAAGTCATACAGAATTGATTGGTCCTCGTGCTAAGAGCACTATGGTTATTCCTTTTTCTCCCAAAATTTGGAAAGTAACACCTTTTAGGAATACTAAGTCTTAGGGGGTGCTCGCCAATATGCATGATTTTGTGTTTTGAAACAAAAGCAACTGCCACACTAGCAAATTTGGTGAACACCACTTGCTTTTGCAAGTTCAAATCTTTCATTTATGATAGTTTCCATCCTTGTAAAATTTGTGGATTATACACTGCAATTAAAAGTGTCTTTGGCTATTTATATAGATACAGGAGCTGGTTGGCAAGGAGAAAGAGTTGCAGGAGAAGCTGATGCTAAAACACTCAACAGTGGTGGACTCTTATGAGAAGAAATCAGGGGGGCGAGAAATTGAGAATCGGGTTGCTTCACACCAACAGAAACTTACAGCCCTGAGGCAGGAGGTTGATGATCTTCTTGACATCATTAGTGAGATTTGATAGGTAAATTAATCTAGTCATCTAAAGTGAACAAATTTTCCCATGATGATTGTATACTTTGTTGGGGATGAGTGGATTGGATGGGAATTTTGTTTTGATCTAGTAAATGTTCTGATGAGACTGATAAAAAAGAATATTGTGATGAGCTACAACTTTAGTAGTTTTGTTATCATGAACGTGCTTATGCTTATCTAATTCCAACTACCAGACTATCAGTGCATGTACTCATTCTTCCTTGTTGGTAGGGAAGTTGTAAATCCAGCCTATTTGATGATTATCAATTCATGCTGGTCAACTTCTTGCAGGTGGCATTCTCTCAGATGGCAATTTTTAAGCCATCAGTCTGAAATTATGTTAGGCAGACGAGTTTAAGTTTCGAGTGAAAATAGCAATGGTACCAAACACAACTCAAATCGGGACTAAACTGAACTGCACCCTTCCATATTCAACGTGTATTTATTATTTAAGGACGACGCTGCTGATCTGATAGAAAGGGGTATGCTTGCCTGAACTTGATGTGTGATTAGCCCTTTTCCATTTTTAAAACTCCACTGTCCTGCGGAAAGAATTTCTTTCACTGAACCGAACCTATCGTACGTACAATTTTGGAGAGCTTACCAAGTCTCTTTAAGTTTGGGTTGGGAATTGGGATTATCCAAGGATTCCGTTAGCCTGGCGCTGGCGCTGGAGCCCTGGACTCACACCACTGAGCTATCAGCCAAGAACAGAATCTTTTTTCAACCAAAAATAAACCGATCTCTCGCCTCGACCTCCAGCAATAGCAACCGTTTTCTCAATCATCGACCCAATGTTAACCATTAAAAGCTATGTCTGTTCGAAGAAGAATGGAACTGTAAGGACTTTGACGAATCAGACACCCTGCTTCCCCGGCCCCATCAGGAATATTAGTTGATAGGATACCAGGGGTGAGCATTCGGTTTATTCGGTTAAAAATCGATCTGAATAAATCAAATTTTTAAAAACTGAAATAAAAAATAAAAATTGAACTGGAACTGAAAAATTCAGTTCAGTTTTTGGTTATTTTGGTTAAAAACCGAATTTAATTAATATATATATATTATAACCTATAATATATATAATATATAATATGTTATATATTATATATTAAAATTCTTAAAAACTGAACTGAATTACCCAAAAACTGAAAAAAATCGAACAAAAAAAAACCAAAACTGAAAATTTTGGTTCGGTATTAATCGAATAATGCTCTCCCCTAGTTACCACTTTTATCCAGTCGGATTTTAGGTACATTTTGTTCAAAAAATTCGATTGGATAAAAGTGGTAACCATTTGGGTTTGATGGGTATCATACCTTTCCGGCATCATAGATTTATCCAAGCATTTTTATTTACTATATATAACTGATGTAGCTCGATCTACACCGGTCCCTATTGAAGAGGTAAGTCAGACGAGAAGTGCTTTGAATCTGCAAAGAAGACAAATGTCAAAGAGTTCGGATTGTGGACCCAGGCGAAGAAGCTTCGACGATCAAGTTAGTACCGAGTTGAGAGAGATGGGAGCAGAGTAAGAGCTAGAAGGCTTATGAGAGAGTATCGTTTGAGGGCAAGAAGCTACCCTTATATAGGTATTTAGGAATGGCCAAAACGTCCCCGACATACTCGGAGGTAATGGGCTTCAACCAGTGGAATCTTAGGGAACACTCGGGAATGGTTGCTAAGTCAACCACTCACCATTTCCCTAAGAAATGGGAGAGACTCTTGTAATCGTTGCTACGTGGATGATGTGCCCTCCAAATTTCCCGAGGCCATTAAGGGGGCGTTCTTTTTTTGGATTTTGAGAGGGGGAAAGTTGGACAATGGGATTTTGGTTCCCATTGACCAAGAATCCCATGTTCTTTTTTTAGATTTATGTGGGGACCAAGGAAAGTTTATTTTCATAGGTAGGGCTGTTCATGGGTCGGGTTGGGTCGGTTTACTAGGGTTTTCCCAACCGACCCGACTTGGTCGGGTTACCTGAGATGGAAACCGAAATCGACACAGTGTTAAGCAAAACCGACTTGGTCGGTTTGAATCGGGTTGGGTCGGTTTCGGTTTTGCTCCTGTACAAAAAGGATATAGAAGCCTAGAAGGAAATATCTATTCTGAAAATTGAAAACTGAAGTTTTTAAGATATTTTATGAAAATATATTTAAAAAGTTAGAATTAGAATAGAAAACAAAAGTTATCAAGAAAATAGAAAGTCAAACTGTTTTATAGAAAGAAGGTTGAAATTTGTATATTTCAAGAAAGTTTCTAAGTTATAATCTAAGTAAAAAATGACACCTAATTCTAATTGTAATTGCCTAATTGGTTGCCTATTTGGTGTAAAAGACTGTAGAAACTAGGATAGAGACAACTTAGTTAAATAGGAACTAGAAGACTAGGTTAGGTTGTAATTAGGAATTAGGATAGAGGCAACTTAGTTAAGTCGGAACTAAGTCGGTTCGGTTCGGATCGGTTTTGGTTTTCATACAAGAAAACCGAAACCGACCCGAACCATCAGTTTATGAATTTGTACAATCCGAAACCGACCGGTGCTTAAGAAAATCCGGCCAACTCAAGTTGGGTCGGTCCGGGTTGGTCGGTTTAGTCGGGTTGGGCCTTCTTATGAACAACCCTATTCATGGGTATAACTTATTCGGGTAAGTGATACCCATCTTCTAGGTGGGTAAATAACTTTTCCACATAGGGGAAATGTCGCCAACACTTGAATGTGACAAAAATGCCCTTTTTAATAATAAATTTTTATGGCTAAAATGGTCATTGCCTTGTTTACATGAAAAATAAAAGAACATGGGTAAATATACTTACCCAGGTAATTGCACCTACCTGGATAAGTAACTTATGGAAAAATAAGCGGGGCCTAAATGGCTTGAATGGTATAAGGCGAGTAAACTACGTAGATCGGTCTCCATGATGTTGGATAACTCGTCACGTGCCTGGGCCGCATAAACACTTTGAGGTGATGACCGACATCTCATGTTGGTCCTCTCGAGTTATCTTCAACTAAGCTCAAGGTGCATCTGGTCGGCATGATGCCATGAACCATCTTACTAATGGATACTTTCTAAGGTGTTGCCACGTTAGATGCCAAGGTGGCTTTGGATATCCACGTGGCAGCAAATGGTGTAACACTTTCACCCATCATCGATAGCATTTTAATTATTTTAATTCAATTTGGAATTTTAGTGCATCTAATTCTATTTGTCATGTATTTTTATTTGGGAATGCAAGACTTCGCTGGGTCGGGTCGTTAACTGATTAGCCCAGCCCAGGTCGTCCGGCAATTGACATCGCGGCATGACTGACATTACCCGGATGACGTCCATTTATGTCTTTATGTCTTTTACGTGAGATCAAATCAGTCCCTTTGCCCCCCACAACATCCCACAGCACATCTCTCCGTGTATTGAAAATATTTTCCAATGATAATATTAGATATGATGATGTCATATATTTTTAATATACGGCGGGAATGTGCTGTGGGACGCTGTGAGAGGGCAATCTTGTGGGGCTGATTTGAAGTCCTTTTACGTTCGGGGTTAGTGTCTTAATAATTACTGGTAGGGGGTTTTAAGAGTAGCAAAGACCGGACTGTATCCCCCGCGCACAAATAGTAGGGTTTCTCTAGGATTTCTGTGCATGTTTCAAAAGAGAAAATGGAAACCTCTCTCAGATATGGCGGAGATTCTAAAGCTCTTAGGGTCCATTTCAAGGAGAAGCTTCCTATCAACTCCAACAATTATTTCCAGGTATGTTAGTCTCCTCTCCTCCTCTATCTTCTCTTCTCTTCATTTATTCTACACTTTATTTTATCCGGCTTTGTCTTTTCCCTCCTCTCCTTTCATATGTTGATCACTTACCTCTGTTCGCTTTAGCAACTTCAATTCTCTAGTTCTGATTAGCGTTCCCATATCTCTTTTTCTTTGTATTTAGGTTTCTGAATTATGATGTATTGCTGATACGTATTTAGGTTTCTGAAGCACAAGGGATTGTATTGCTGATACGTATAACTGATGACTAATTTTATAACCATAATTTCCTTTGAATTGATTTATTACTTTACAGGGATGAACCTTTTTTTTTTTTTGGGTAAGCGATAAACCCTGTTTAAACCTTAAACAATTTTCACTGAAAAATTAATGGTTTCTGGAGTAGAACTCTTCATGTTGAGGCAGCGATTTATGAGTCCTAACCATGTTTTACGCATACAGTAGAAAACTAATGGCACTTTCAGGGCATCTCTATGGGCACGTTCATTATTGTTAAGCACTTGAATTTTGACCTTTGTGGTTAAATTTGTACGCCAGCTCTATTACGTGGTCTAGGCTCCATCAAATTTTGTGAAGATTAATGCAAATGAGTACTCTTGGGATGTACATGCTTAGGTTTATGCTACATTACTTTGGCAGCCAATCAATGGGAAAGAAAGATAACCTTTTGGTCATGGAAATCCCAATCCTCAATTATTTATATTTTATATATAAGAAATGAAAGAAAAGCATTACAATAATTCCCCTAAAAGGTCATTATTCTTTGACAGGTCGATGGAGATCTAGATACTGGCATTGGAGACCTGAGTTCTTTGAGTGGAACAATCAGATGCTTTGTCCCTGAGGTATGTTATTACTATCTGGGCATAGACCAATAAAAGTTGTTCCTTATTTTTCTTCCCTTCTTTAGCTTCCACTAACTCATCAACAATAAACTCACATTAATACACCTGATGGTTAACTGCTTTACAGTTATCAGCCATCTTTGGCTTGGGGTTGCAGTATGATATACATGACAAGGCTAATTTTATTGCACGTGGAAAGAAGGCATTTCCAATAGCAAATAATGGCTTGTTAAGCTTTAAAATGAAAGGGAGATGTGAGTTTGACAAGGCACTTAGAAAGGTTTGTCTTCTCCTAAAGCTTAGGAAAAACTGCTTATGAATGCAATGAGTGATATGAGTGAGTGAGAGAAGCATAATATTATCTGCATCCTACAGTGGTTTAAAAGGCGCGCCTTGGCGCACAGGCGTGGCGCATTTTGGGGTATGTGCCTTGCCCAGGTCCTAGGTGCACGCCTGGTGTGCCTAGGCGTGCGCCTGGTGTGCCTAGGCGTGCGCCTGATGTGCCTTGTGCCTCAGCCCAAGCATGCGCCTTTTTAAAATTTTGCACTTTTTTGCTTTTTTATTTGAGTCTTAACGGCTGGGTTGGGGGTTCTCGGAGCTTCGGTGAGCGAGCGAAGTGAGCGAACTGGAGCGAAGTAGAACCCCCTATTTGCTAATGTTGTTCATTCATTCATTTCAATAAAATGTCTTCTTAAAAAGCAATGAAAGTTATAAAATCATTAATTTGTATGTGAGAAATAAGAATTTCAGGCCCTAACATAGACTTGTTTGGGCTTGCCTTGAGGGGCATGGTACAAAGGTGACTTACAGAATCAAGAATGCAATATGTTTTGCATCACATTAGCTACTTGAAGCAATGCGATTAAGGAAAAAAAGAGATTGTGGGTTTTACATGCTTGAAAATGCTTTATATGTTTGCTTTTATTTTTAAATTTTCATTTGAATATGCTTTACATGTTATGCTTATGTATTTTAATTTTAGATAATAGGTTTTTAAAATATTTATTTTAAAATTTAAGTTTATATTTTTATTAACATTATGTTTAATATTTTTTGAATTTTTGAAATTTTTTTGTCATTTTTTTTAATTTTCTGACTTTTCTTTTATTTTTTAGCTTTTCTTTTTGTAATTTTGCGCGTTGCTTAAAAAGGTGTGCACCTCGCCTTGCGCCTCAGGTGCAAATCGGCCCTTGTGCTTTTTTTGCGCCTTGCGCTTTTAAAACACTGGCATCCTATCATTTGAATGATTTACAATAGGAGAGAATCAATTCTGATTCTGATGCAGGGGTTTCAGTTACATCCTCTAGAATGTTTTGGTGAATTGCTTCAGGAAGAATTTCCTTGTTCAAGAGAGCAAAGCAGATTCACAAGAAAGTTTGCTGGTCATTGCATTCTAATATCTCTAACCTCCAATATCTAATACTTAAATCTCTTTAATATGCTCCAAAGCTCCATTTGGTTTGCAGGAAACGGATGGGAATATTCCATTTTTGTGTGTTTGTTTTGAGAAAAGCACGGGGATGGGACGAGAAAGTAATGGGATGTGGGTTCTCAAAATTGAAGATACAGGGTTGCACCAAATCAGTATGCCCCCAGTGATAGAGAGATCGTGGTGAGAAAAAAATATCGAGCCTTGTCAGAACCATATGTTGTCTCCTCCATTGGACTCTGAAACTCTTCTCCAACAGTTCAAACTTTGGTGCCATTTGTCATTGTTTAGGTCGAAAGTACAATGTACAACTGATCTATTTTCCATGGATTCTGACAACCATGGAGAGTTTTCTGATTATGAGTCTTTCATTATTTCTATCATTTATTGGGGTCTATGGGTAAAGGGAGAAATAGAGGAATGAGAGAAGGGTTTCTTGGCTTCTGTCGATTAGGGGAAAAAAAACCTAGATCTTTCCCTGTCACTGTACCCCCATTCTCCATGCCATCAAATCACCTCCATAATCATAGCACCACTGCTACTTATTAGCCAGTCCCCGTTGTAGAACTAAGAGGAAGGGCTTCTTCTTCATTGTAGCATCACTGCTACTTGTTTAATTCTTCTGTTAACTAATGACAGACACTGCTGGGTGATGTGATGGCTTGGTTTTCTTTAATTGCTCTGCTAAATAACACTAGACACTATTGGGTGATGCTGAAATATGTTCATTGTCCTTCATTTTTTGGAATAAGAGTTGAGATTTATTCTTTGTTCCTATTAACAGTGAATGGTAGTTTGGATCTCTATGTCCTGTCAATCATCCTGAACTTTTGCATTTGTTTTTGTGTCTTTGAGATGTCTGGGTTGATTTCCTAGTGCCCTTATTTGGTTGATTTTCCTTCAAATTGAATTGTGTGATCATTTTTTTTTCCTTTTTATATTTGTGAGTCTATTCTAATAAATTGTCTTTATTTTTTCACAAACCAAACATGGGGAAATGAATATCCCCACTATTTTCCCTTGTGTAGCCAAATTATGGAAAATGAAAATTTCCTTCTTTCTCATCTCATCTCATCTCATCCCATCCTATCCCATCGTATTCCACTCCACCCAAGTATTCCAGCAAACTTAAATGGAGCCCAACAGTTACATCCAGGAAAGTTCTTCACTTTATGTGATGCCAATAAAGGGTCATTACACGATGATAATCCAGGCTGTGGGGTCTTGGGAGGGGTAGACTGGATACTTATGATACCCAGATACCAATACATGCTAGCATACTGGTGTTGGATATGATACCAGATTCTACATGGGTACTTTTAGATGTACCCTATTTCATTAACAATTTAACACTTCTGCAATATTTGAAAATGGTATGTTTTAACAAATTATTCCATAAAAAAATCTGCACATGTTATAAATTTAATAAAATTTGGCAAGACATAAGTTTTGAGCTTCAAAAGCTAGATAATGTGAGCATTTTACATGGGATATCTGTCATGTCCCAAATCTAAGGAAATTGAGTCATATTCCCATTTCCCATGTGTCTGTCCATATCCGTAACTGGACATCATAGCTAGATATTTTCTTTTGCACCAAGTGACCAATCTCAGACTCCATCCCATGCTTGCCAATCCAAGATTTAACAATTGCAAAGCTTTTAAATGATGTTTATACCACTAAAGAAAATCAGGGGCTGTAGTTGATGATACACTTAATTCTTATAATCTTATGCACCTTCAATGTTGCTGATATCTTTTGCAGAGAAAGCCAAAAGGAGCTACTGAATTGGTTTGGAGTATATTCAATTTTAAGAAGGATCAAGATTTAAGGTTAAAAATAGGATATGAAGTCTTTGAAAAGGTCTCTCTCTCTCTCTATCTATCTATATATATATATATCTATGATTAGACTTAATCCTAGGCTAGCCGAGCAAGGATGGCAACATTGTATTTATTCACATTTACAGACTTTTTTAACCTTTAATAGATTGCATCCAATATAGTGGTTTGTTGGTTTTCTTTCTAAAAAATGCCCTTATTTATCGTTGAGTTTCTTGTGTTTTGTGATTTTACTGCAGGTGCCATACCTCCAGATTCGGGAAAACAATTGGACCCTTAATGCAGACATTAATGGTAGATGGAACGTGAGATTTGACTTGTAAAAAGGCAAAACCAAGCTTGTTGGAGGCAAAATTGGTTGCGCTTCAGTTTTTTTTCTTCCATGATTTTACTTATTCGAAAGTGTCGGGACAAAACGTTGTTTATGTTCCATGTTACAGACTTAAATAATTATTTTATTGAAACTTTTTTGCCTTGTATTCTAAATTTTCTCGTCTTTGGTGTGATCATGGGCATGGATTGCCAAGTAGTGGGCCCCCAAAAGAAATCAATTGTTTTGCCAAATCCAACTCCCCCCCCCCAAAAAAAAAATGAAGTATGCCAAAATACTGAAGGGTTGAATTGAACAGATTCGTGTCGAAAGGCCTTTGGCTTATTCTATTTATCTCGTTATTCCATGTGGAAGGATGCCAAAATACGAAGGGTTTCACTTTCATTCATATTGGAAGAGAGACTATTATATGATCTTTTGCCCCCGAAGAGGTTTTATTCATTCCTTGGTGGTGGGGACGGTGGGGGCAACTCATGAGGTCGTCGTCAAAACTCAATTCTCAATAGATCGGTGGAAGAGGGGCCGAGGTGTCTGACAATTTGCACATGCATGTGCAGAGTGCAGGCTCTCAATTAAAGAGATGATGCGCTTGAGCATTCATGTTGTTGTTGTTGTTGTACAAGCATTAGTAGTAGTAGTAGGCTTCGGTTCGACTTCGACTTAGTGAGTCTTGGCTCTTCTCTTGCCAGTTGCCACATCAAACTATGGACTCTTTTACGGATCTTAAATTAAATATGGGGGGCTGCTTTAGGACCCAAAAAGGAGTCTAGGGTCCTTTCCTTTGTTCCGGGTTCCGGGGCCCAGCACCTATCATCAAATGGGTCCCCATCTCATCATAGAGACTATAACTGGGTTATAAATCAGATTGAAACATGATGGCGCTGCCAATTTTGATGTTGAAGTAAACCTCTCTTCTATCTGTTGGAATGTTGAGAAAAATTAGTGGTTTCATTACTCACATGGTGGAATTGGGAACTCATATCCAATCCTTAATTCTTGCTGATATATACCTTTTTTTTATGTAGGCAATTCGATAGATTTGATGGATGAGACTCCAAAAGGTCACCACATTATCTACTATAATAACAACAACAACAGCATGACAAAATAATGTTATCTCAAAAGAGGAAAGAGTATGCAAACAGTGAATCATCTGCAACATCCACCGAATACAAACTTTTTTTTTTCGTTGATGTATCTCCATGCAATAAATGAAGCGTCGGCCATAACTTAGTGGTTTATTAAGGGGGCGTTTGGTTGGCTACTGGTAAGTCGCTTTATTATTGAGTGCCTGTTTGGAACCAAACACCACTCCAGAAGGGTGGTAGAAAGTAAAAGTTTTTTTTTAATGAATGATGATAAATAGCATATATCATAAACCTACTAAGAACCAAACACCACCCAATTTCCTCACTAGACCTGGCAAAAAGTTGATCCAACCCGCAAACCTGACCCAAACCAATAAAAAAAATAGGGTTAGGGTCTCATATTTAGCAACCCGAATGTCAAAATGACCCAACCCAACCAACCCGAAAAATCTAGATTGGGTTGGGTCATGGGTCAACCTGTTGACCCGATTGTCAAGTCTAATTGAGATTATTTATGCATTGTTAGAAGTTTCCACTCTTTAATTTTTTCTATTTAGTCTTTACTTTTTATTGTTTACTTTTTAAATTGTTAAATGTTCAAGTTTTTATTTTATATTTGGAATTTTAAGATTAATTCTTTTAATTGACATTTTTTTTGTAATTTTTCTTTATTTTTTTTAATTTCAATGATTTTTTGGGATGACCCAAATTGACTCATTGATCAACCCTAACCCGAACATTTAGGGTTAGGGTCTAACATTTGACAACCCAACCCGACCCAAAAGCAATCCAAAATACCTTGACCCAACCCGAACCGACCCACCCAACCCGATTGCCAGGTCTTTGTCTAACCTTCAGAGACTTATAGCCGAAAAAAAGGAAAATGTAAAATCATTATTTAGGGTATGGACAGTTTATCAGAGAGACTTGGTTCAATGATGGGTCCAGATGTCCCGATTATTTAGGGCAAAGTTGAACAAATTCTTGGTTCATAAGCTTGGGGGGTAAACTCGTGACTCATGAGAAAGAAATCAAGGATGAATAATGCATAGAGAAGAGAGAGGAAGAGTTGTTCATTCGGCCAAACTTTGTAATTATTAGTTAGACCTCAATAACTTTTCCTTTTCTCAAAGGGTGGGTTAGCCATAACTTAAGCATAGGTGAGACTTGAGAGGATAAAAATCATCAATCAATGCTCTATCATCCTTGGGATATTAGTTTGGACGAAACTTGGGTTGGGCCTGCTACTGCTACCCGCCTACCCGTTCATCTTTATTTTATTTGGTTTTTAACTTTTAACTTTAAAATGTAAGGTGGTTCCCTTTTCTATTTTCTTCTTCTCCTTCTAAACTTCGGCTATAAAAGCACTTTGACAGTTGATACCGCATACATGAAAAAACCCTTTTGAAGTATCATGACTATTCCGTTAAGGATTCTTGCCGGCGTCAATTCGTCGTCGTCGAACCCGCCTAGCTCCGTCGAGGTGGATTCTGACTTCGTCGTTATCCTTGCAGCCCTTTTATGCGCTCTAATTTGCGTCGTCGGCCTCGTAGCCGTAGCTCGTTGCGCTTGGCTCCGCCGTGCCTCGGGCGGTGCCGCTAGAACCGGCCGTACTCAACCTCAGCCTCCGGCCAACAAAGGCCTGAAAAAGAAAATCCTCAAGTCGCTCCCAAAACAAACTTTCAATGGGGACATCAACGGAAAGGGGAAACTCGCCGACGCCGACTGTGCTATTTGCTTAACGGAATTCGTGCAGGGGGATGAAATCCGAGTATTGCCGCAGTGCGGGCACGCGTTCCACGTCGGTTGTATAGACACGTGGCTGGGATCCCACTCCTCCTGTCCGTCGTGTCGTCAGGTTCTGGTGGTTGCGAGGTGTCAAAAGTGCGGGGGGTTCCCGGAGAGCTCCGGCACGACAGCGGCACATGAAACGGAGTTGGGATTGAAAGCTAGAGAAGATGATGTCAACAGGTTCTTGCCTTGACATGGGTTTTTCTGTCTCCCTTAGCTCTTATTACCCTTCTGATTCCCTCCCTCCCTGTATTTGTATGATCTTCTCTGTTTTTTTTTTTTTTTTTCAATTTATAAAACTAGACTAGACTAGAGTTCTGAAATCTGAACTCTTTTTATTTTCATGATTTTAATTTTAATTTTGTCTGTACCTATTAATTTGGTCATTTCACTTCTGTATGTAATTTAGAATTTATACTAGTAAACAGCTGATAATTAACGTTTTGTACTTTTATTGCCGATTTTCTCATATATATATTTTGGGCTTGATCATCACCTACACATTGCTAGACATACAGAGATTAGAAAATGTGGGTTTGTGGGTTTCAAATTTCAACCAAACTCGAAATAGTTGGGGGGTTCTCTGAATTGAAGCTAAGATGAGGGTGGCTACACTCTACACTCTACAGTGATAAACAACACGCACGCACACGAGAGAGAGAAGGAGATCTCACATGGGAAAAGAGTTGATTGAGCAGATGCCACATTTAGGCAGTAGGCTTTTTACCCCTGAAAATGATTTGGTTGCAAGTTGTGAGAGTCCCGAAAAGAAAAAGTTAAAGGTTAAAGGTGATAGAATCAGAAGGGTACTGACCTTGGCTTTTGTTCCATTTTGGATTGGCCTTGGACCAGTGTTTCCCAATATTTTTTTTATTGGGTGGTTACTAGTTAATACAGAGAAACATAAATTAATGAAAGAGGGTTGAATCAAGTATAAGCTTTGTGTTCTCTTTCTCAACACAAGAACAGAGGTTACTTTTGTTGAGTCGAACACAAAACAAAAGGCTACAAGGCTTTTGTTGGGTTTGGTGTTGTTTTTTTATTTGCTTGGTAGTCATATCATATATAACATAATATTACATCAGATTGAAAGTAATAAGAGCTAGCTATTATATTCATAGCAGAACCAACAAATTATAATATTCATCCCCACCCCAAAACAAAAGGCTTTACTTTCAACTTTGGAACCTAATTCTGAATGATAATGAAGATTTATTAATTCTTCATTATCATCGAAAAGGACGGCCTGGCCTCGTCCTTTGTGTTGTTGGAAGGAGTGAAAGGGATGCAGTCACTTGCAGTTGCATGTGCAACCCTGTGGGCTGTAACTGTATGCTAGGTAAATTGGCGTTGTGGGTCACTTCGTTCTATTGCTGTCAAATGTCAAAAGTTACGGGGTGGTTTGATCCAGATCGGGGCAGAAATAATTGTACACCCGAGCCAAATTACAATTAACAGCTATGTTTTTAATATTAAACATTTGTAATAATGTATAATCTGTTCAGATTTTAATTTTATGGACAACCAAAATTAGGGGATAATTTGAGTTCAATCCACTTCAGAATTCATAATGCGATGGTATATATAGTTCGGACAGCCCAACTCCAATGAGAGTTGCTCAAAATGGTTAAAAGACTGGTTGAAGTAGCTGTGCTGTCTCAGGAAATGGAGAAGTGGTAAGGGTTTGTTTGGGAATTACCGAATTACAACTCTCAATTATTGTACCAACCAAAACCAAGTGAAGGTGACTGAGACACGTACAGTTAAAAAGGTGGTTTGTCTGAACCTTATCATGACCAATTTCGTGCATCATGTGAAGCGAGGCGAGTGCCGAGTGGGAGAAGAGCAGCAGCAGCCGCATCTGCACGGGAGACGGAGACGGAGACGAAGCACATCATGTATTATTTATGAGCGCAAGTGGTTGCGTTTGCGTTGCCTGCCTCATCAACTCTGAACTCTCTGATACAAAACCACTGTTACTCTGGGCTACAAGGCTGGAGTGAATAATAAGCTGCGGATTGGGATGCGTTCCCTCTGCTCATTGATCACGCAGAACGCATGAATATTATATTATTATAGTTTATAGGCTTGGACCGTCAGATGCTTTATTTCATTGTTTTTTCTCTATTGGCGTGCCGTAACTGCAAAAATAAAATAAAATATTAAATATGCTTTTCCACTGTGTTATGTTCTTGTTCTGAACGGGTGTGGATGGCAGATGGCTTACGAATTGAACACCAAAAGTTACATTTCGGGCATTCCAAGAGGGTCTTCCTTTTGTATCAAACCCGTTTGGTAACAATACAAAAATGGGTTGTTTTGTGGATCGTGATGTTGCGCAATTCGGCTGGTCCTAACTGTCAACGACTTTGCCTCTGAACGGAGCTACAGGGAACCTGAAACGGAGAAGATGAGGAAACTCAGGGGGGAACCCGGTGATATTGCTCCGAAGCTCAAGTTAGAATTCTCTCAAAGGCAAGATAAAACCAGATGGCGCAAAGTTCACATACCTCGTTTTGGGGGGGTAGGGAGCCTTTTATAACCACCTCACGCACTTACTCCTAAGTTTCTGTCAGGTCGGGTATGATTATCCCTGCGCTCTTGCCAGTTCGGGGGTCATAACCTCTGTTGGGATAGAACCGCCACTGCTCTCTTTGTCGGAGCCGTCTCTGCAATTGGAGACGGCGGTAGCAGGTGGCGGTGGCAGGTGGTCGTTGGAGTGCGGCTGTCAGGCGTCAGATCCCAAGTCAGTCAGGTGCAGTGCTCCTGGGTACGGACTTCCTCGGTGTCAGGTGTGGTACGGTTCGTTCAGTTTGGCGTCCTGGAGGCGAAGTACTGGAGTGGTGAGCGAGGTGAAGTCTTGAGTTCGGATAGAGGTGTGTCCCAAACTGCCATGGGGCGGGCCAGTTCGGGTCATTGCCTTGTGCGAGGCTCGGGGCCTAAGGGAGAGTTCGGTCTCTTTGTAGGGAGTTCGGGCTCCTGGTAGGGAGTTCGGACTGCTGGTTTCTCCCTTCGGTGCTTGCGCCTTGGGTGCGCTGTTGTGCTGAGCTGTTGCCTTTGCCACGTGTTGAGTGATTACGAGATCGGGTCAAATCTTCCTTCATCAGATCCCTTCTTTTTTTGTTATCATGTTAGGGGTGGGCGTTTTCGGAAAATGATGCATTATACGTAATTAACAAGAAATGGTTTAGGAACCCGTAATTTAACTATGGATATTACTGAAATTTCCCCTTTTCATTTGTATTTATACATGTTCTTGATTGAATGAAAATTTGTTTTTAGCCCTAAAAAGACTATAGATTGATGAATGAATTAGCCTTTTGGCATTTTTGTATTAAAATAAATAAATAACGTAACTGATCCCTTATGATATGATTGGAAACTTAGGCCCCTTATGGGAATAGGGGTTTGGAATCGAAATCAGAATGAGATTTCAACCATTTTGGTTGGGCAGAATTAGAATCCCATTCCCATTCTTACTGGAATGGCACTCTCCCATTTGAGGGAATGGTCATTCCCTACCCCTCCCTTAGGAATGAAATCTCATTCTTGTTGATTCTAATTCTCATTCACATTCCTGTATGAACCAAAAACTAACGAAGTCATTGTTTTCTATCTTTAGATCTGAAGCACATTCTTGTCTAGTTATTTCTTTACTTTCAGTTATTGTTTCGCTCTATCATATTTCATGTTTTTTCTCTCTTTTTCTTTGAAAATAATCGTTTCAATCTCAAGGTAGAAAACAATGAATAGTGCCTTCTTTTGAAGGGTAGTTTTGACATTTTCAACAAATAGTTGATAGTATATTAACGACAAGGACCAACTTGACACATTTTGAAAGTTTAGGAACTATAGTGACACGTTTAAAAGTTCGGGTACTAACTTGACACTACCCCCATAGTTCAGGGTACTAAAGTGGAATTTTCCCTAATATTTAAGTTAATTAATTTAACTAAATTAACATAAGTAAATTAATTTAATTTAATAAATAAATTAATTTATTAATCTCTCTCTATATATAGTCCACGTCACTATGCCTCTCCTTGCTCCAAACCCCTTCTTAATTTCCTGTTTTTCTGATTTTTTTTTATTTTTTTTTATAATTATACATAATTACCCATTAAACCAATATGGAAATAAAATAGGCTTAACTATTTGTTTAATTCTACATAATTCTCCTAAATTCTCTCTAATTCCTATTTATCTCTTAAATTATCTCTAACTCCTATTTATCTCTTAAATTATCTATAATTTAGTAGAGAGGTTCCCACCTAAACTATTTCTAATTCCTATTTATCTTCTCCCCCACTTTTTATCTGCATCCATCTAAAGAAAGTTTCAATTAAAAATTTCAGAATTATTTAAATATTATAGAAAAATTATATACTAACTTTAAAATATTTATTCAAAACACAAAAATTAATTATAATAGATTTAATAATATTCGTACTATTAATAATTCTATATTTTTACAAAATTCATCATGAAATTATGCAGTAATAATATAAATTATAATTTTATGAATTATTCAATTTAAATGTTATTCAAATAATAAAAACTTAACATTAAAAAACAAAACATTATTTAAATATTTCAATCACTAAATATATTAAATAACAAAGCATTAAAAATATATAAATAATTATCTAACAAAATATTTAATATTAAGTAATAGCATTAAAATAAATAAAATGAAAATAATGAAAACTTTTAAATATTTTACATATTATTTAAATATTTAAATAACGAAATATAACATGATTAAATTTTAAATAGTTAAAATAATGAAATATGTAATAAATTTAAAAAATCTCTTAAAAGTACAAAAATTAATTATAATAGATTTCAGAATATTCATATTAATAACAATGTATTATTTTACAAAATTAATGATTAATTATGTAATAATAGTACTAATTATAATTTTACGGATTATTAAATTCAATAAATAATATATTTTTTTAAAAAATTAAATCACAATATTATTTAAATAGATAAATAATATTGTAAATAACTAATTTCAGTTGTATCAATTAATAATTGTAGAAAATAACTTTCAAAAACGTAATATTTATTAGTAATAGCTTTACAATACTAGTGTATATTCATTATATATATACTAAAATTAATATTTATTTTAATTTCAGTAATTATTTATTGTATTTTTTATAAATATGTTTTCAATAATTATTTATGAATATATTTTTGTTTTGTTATTTAACAGTAAATTGTCAATAATTATTGGGGATTAAACAACTACAATTTGACTTTTGAAATTTAATTTATCGTATTTTGTTATAAATTTATTTTTAGTAATTATGTATTTTTTATAGTTTATTGATTAATATTTATTAGAGATTAACCTATTATTTGATATTACACTCTTTATTGACTAATTTAATATATTTTTAGCAATTATTGTATTTTTTTAGATATCTGTTGTATTTTCATTGTAAATTTATTTTTCAATAATTGTGTATTTTGCTATAAATTTTCAATAATTGTTAAAGATTAAACTATTGTTATTTATTAGAGATTAGACTATTAATTTAGCTAAAACTAGGAGTGTTCAAGGATTGGTTCAGTTCGGTTGCAGGTAGGGGTGATCATGGGCCAAGTTGGGCTTTGCACTTATGATAAGGGTCATAGCTTAGGCCCAGGCCCGGGCCGACCCAGGGTTCTGGGCCTAAAACATAAGCCCTAGCCTAGGTCTATACGGGCCCAGGCCGGGACGGGCCTGATTTCGAGCCAATGTCACTCATATATAAAACATTACATATATATATATATATTAAATGACATAACATGCATATAAACTTATTTTATACATTATATAATATAAAATATTACATATAATATAAATTATACATGTCATGTTATAATATTTATATATAAAATATATAATATAATGTAAAATAACATGTATACATATATATACATTATACACAAATTGTGTAAGTTTAAATATATACGGGCCGGGCTTGAAGTATTAAGCCCAAGCCTAGCCCTAAAATTTGCGGGCCTGATGTGGGCCCAGACTCGGGCCTGAACACAAGACCCAGGCCCAAGCCCAAAATTTCCGGGCCGGGCTGAAATGATCACCCCTAGTTTTAGGTTATTTCGCCAACCAAATCGACTTAGTTAGGTCGGGAGTTTGTCACTCGAAACCAATTGACCATTAGTAAAACCCTCCAACTTGGGTTATATCAGTTTGGGTGTATTCAAGGTTCAAAGTATCGATACAATACGCATTTTGGTTGTATCGTATCGATACATAGAAACGGCCGATACACACTTTTTTTTTAGATTTTTTTTTTCAAAGTTTGGTTTTTTGGGAAGCTTATAAGATGTTTTTTATTATTAAAAAAAGTTGGGGATCTGAAACTCCTGGAAACAGGCATTTCAGATCGTATCTTTTTCAAAAGATACGATACGATACACCCGATACGGGGCGTATCATATCGATACTTTGAACCATGGGTCTATTTTCATTTTGGTTTGTTTGTTCAAAAGATTTAAATTTAATAAATTGCAATGATATTATTAAAAAATAAATTAAAAATATTAAATCCCGATACTGACCTAACTTGGTCAAATTAAAAAATTGCTAAACCAAAACCAATCGAAAATACTAGAAAACTTACCAACTCGAATTGAATTTGATTAGATTAGTTATTAAACAGCTTAAATATAAAATAATTATACTTCTATATATTTTTATTATTTAACTTTTCGCCTAACAAAACTCGTAAATCTCACGAATCCCAATAATTTAAGTTATAAAATGTTTCCCTTTAATTTTTAATTTTTGAACCACTCTCACTAGAGGTGCATCTTGAGTTGCAAACTTGCAATTGGATTGATTAGACATGAACCAAACTAATGGTTAGGTTGGATTTGCTGGTTTTGGCCCAATTGAAAAATGTCATACATAACGTTTCTTTTGATTCAATTTCATTTGACCCAAGCCCACACGAGTCTCGACTAAGTTACTAATTAAGGTTTTTTGGTAAAAGTAGTTCCTAATTAAGTTTGAAAATAGTTATTAATCAACAGCTAATGATGGATATTACGAATAGTTTGAGAATGATGTAGTTCCCAAATCCCAATCTATACAGTTGTTGCTGTTGGGGCGCTCTCTGGTCTCTACAATAACTGGCTAGTTTTATAACTTTATATATTTCCGGATTCCCAACAGACAGAGAGAACCGGAGGACCAAATGTGAAGAGTGAAGTTGAGTTGAGCCTGAGAAAAAACCTAGACCTCTTATGGTCTATAGTTTTCGTCCATGTCCACACCAGATCTTCCAATTTCCAAACCAAAACCCCTTGGCTTCTACGTTCAAATTAGATATACCAGCAGCATCAATGGCTTCGATTTCGAGTCTGCAATTTCATTCCATCAGTATGCAGGTAAGAAAAATTCTGCGTTTTTTCTTCTCTCTCTCTCTCTCGCGCGCGCGTCATTTATCTTGACCTTCTTTTGGGATGTAGCCTTCAATCTGGGCTTCGAACCATCGGATTTCGGCGAATGTGTTGGAATTTAGAACAAATATTCGGTTCGACTATAATTATCTGAACTGGAATACACGAAAACTGGTGCAGCATTTTCCAGTGAGAGTCTATGGTAGTTCAGCGAATTTTGAGGACAAGCGTGGTGGAGATGAGGTCGAGAGCAAAGGTTTCAATGTTGGTTCTGAAAACCTAATAGGCAGATTGCAAAGCACAATTAGCAGTATCCCTTCTGTTATTTTCGTGGTATGGCGGCTTATCATGTTTGTTTGTTTTTTTTTTCTATTCATTCTTCCGTAGGTAGCTACATATTTGGTTTTTGAAAGGGAAAATGTTAGCATTAAAGAACCTTCTATTAATAGTTGGTGCACGGTCAATAAAATCCTTGGGCATCCCAGAGTTATAACTACGAAGTAGAAAGAAGATAATCCCTGAAAACATGATTAATTCACACTTCGTATAATGTTGAGTCACTTGTCTTGATAAACTCTCCATAATCAGATAAACTTCTTTCAAGCGTATAAAAGTAAGATATATTATTGTTTGCTCACATTCCTCAGCATTTCTTTGTCTCAGATGAAAAGAAAAACTGGAACTAATTTTGCAATTGGTTTATGTATCGTAATTGCAATTTTCGTGGTTGCTGTGAGAGAATTTGTGGCAAGGAAGTCAAGGAAAACTTACCATGGCTCTGTGAATGATCTTGTCAAACGGGGGCAGTTGAGATCTGATAGGAGAGGCATGTATGTTCTCCAAACTCCCGATTTCCCTTATTATAGTAGCTTGACAATTGCTGAGTGAATCTTGATTTGTAACCATTAAAGTATGACCTGTCTATCTGTGTTTTTCATAGTATTTCAAAGTTCGATATGTTCAGGTTGAAAATCTACATTTAATTGAAATTTCTGGTTTCAGTTGTAATGTATCTACAACAAGATAAAGCTGTGGTTTACTTGTTGGATTTCTCCTCACAGCTCAAGACCTCTTAAGTATGATGATCCATTCAATAACCCATTGGTCAAGGTCAGTAAAGGCAACTCAACCATCGAAATGTGTGGGAAGGTTTACAGATTGGCTCCAGTGACTCTTACGGAAGAGCAACAGTCTAGCCATCAGAAAAGGAGGTCACGAGCATACCAGTGGAAAAGGCCAAAAGTGTTTCTTAAAGAAGGAGACTCAATACCCCCAGATGTTGATCCTGATACAGTTAGATGGATTCCAGCAAACCATCCATTTGCAACAACTGTCAGTGATATTGATGAGGACTTGGCACAAAATAACGTGTATCAAAAGCATGGCGTTCCATTTCGTATTCAGGCTGAGCATGAAGCACTGCAGAGGAAACTGGAAGCATTACAGAATGTAAGTATCCTACTCCTCTGTGCTTTCAACTAGTTAAAAGTCAAACTCAATTAAGCCTCTCCCCATGCCCCTGGTGGTCCATTTAGGATTGACTAGATTAGTCCCATTCTATCACTTCAATCTGTCTGGCCATTTCACTGTTAGATTAAGTGTTTCTTTTTTCTTAACTACTTCAACCAAAAGCCTTGCGGTCTTCTCCTTGTCTATTTAGAGCTTCCAAATTTCAGCAGATCACTCCCAACTGGTGCAGTCATTGGTCTATGCTTACAACTGATGGGAGAATATGAAGGTAAAAAATAGTGAACCATACTCTTCATATTTCTCCTTGGAGGACATGGTAACAACAGGGTTGGGACTAGCCTCAAGTGAGACCAGACTGTAGAGAGAGTGAGAATAGGAGTGAAAAGTAGGAGAAAATGCCAAAGCATCAAAAGTTGAGGAAAATAACTATTGAAGTTGGAACTTGGAAGTTAGATGAAAGCGCTTCTTTGTGGTTATGCATATATTTGTTGTGTTAGAAAAATTTATCTGTTCTAAAGTTAGTTTCTCTTAGTGTTTTAAAAGCGCAAGGCGAGGCGCGCGCCTTTTTAAAGCAAGGCGCAAAATTATAAAAAAATGCTAAAAAATAAAAAAATGTCAGAAAATTAAAAAAAAAACAAAAAAATACTAAACATAATATTAATAAAAAATATAAACTTAAATTCTAAAATAATGTTTTAAAAAACCTATTGTCTAAAATTAAAATACATAAACATAAGATGTAATTATGTAAATCATATTCAAATGAGAATTTAAAACTAAAATCAAACATATAAAACATTTTAAAGCATTTAAAACCTCTAATCTCTTTTTTCACTCAATTGCATTACTTCACATAGCTAATGTAATGTAAAACATATTACATTCCTGATTCTACGAGCCGCCTTTGTGCCACACCCCTCGAGGCAAGCCTAAACAAGTCCATGTTAGCTCTTAAATTCTTAGTTTTCACACAAAAAATAATGATTTTATAGTTTTACTTGTTTTTTAAGAAATTTTATTAGGATGAATGAATGAACAACATTACCAAATTGGGGGTTCTCGGAGCTTCGGTGGGCGAGCGAAGCGAGCGAACCGGAGCTTGGAAAGATTGCTTGCGCCATCTACGTTTAGATGGCCAAAGCGAAGAGGGAGAATGATGTAGAGATGCACAAGGGCAGCAGTACTATGGGTACTATGGGAGGAAAGAAATCGGAGATTATTTGAAGATAAGGAAAGATGCATGGCAGAAATGATAGAAAGTAATATGATGAAGGTGATCTCATGGGTGAAAATACTGAACTTATTTTCAAATTTTACAGTGGATGATATGATTAGGAATTGGAGGTTAGTTGCTTTCTCTTCCTCGGCAAAAAAGAAGATCTTGAAGGAGTGGGTGCCCCCTGAACCAGGCTTTGTCAAATTGAACTTTGATGGCAGCAGTTTCGGAAACCCAGGAAGATCTGGAATCGGAGGGGTTATAAGAAATGAAAGAGGAAATGTGTTGGGGCTGTATTCGGGTCCCATTGGAATTGGAAATTCCATTACAGCTGAACTGAAGGCAATGGTATATGGGATACAAAAAGCTAAGGAGATGGGGGTGGGAAGGTTGGTTGTGGAAGGGGATTCCACAACTGTAAGAGTGAAGGGGTAGCCGAGGCTACTCATAAACTATAACCCCTGTAATTTCTTTACATTAATGAAATTTCTTTTTACTGATAAAAAAAAGGCCAATCAGGGCCACATCTTGGAGATCTACTAGTGTATGCCAAGAAGAAAATTAGGGCGACTGGTCCAGGAAGAAAAGAGCTAATGGATTGGATGTTTTGATAAACAATGGGACTGGTTATGACCTATGAAGCCTCTCGGGGGCGGGGGGGCTGCCTGGATGGTGGATCCCTATATGTTCACAAAGGGGTTCTGGTAGAATTCTAGTTGCTAACTCATTGTATAGATTGTAGACTTGTAGTTACCCTTAATAAATTTTGAATGACATTACTCTGACAGCATCACGGCAACCATATAAAAAATAGTGAAATTTGTGTTGCTAGCAGTATTTACATTTAAGATTGAAATGCTGATCATGAAGATGAAAGCAGCGTTTCAGAAACACATTAGGATGAAACTGGGGAATGAGAACACTCTTTTTTGGATGTATATTTGTTGTTTTGATTGGCCACTTTGTGCCAGGAGTATCCATCTCTCTATTGAACATTTTCCAATAGATGGTGTGGAGTCCCAATTTTAGAAGGAATCTGAATGATTGGGAGGTGGATTTGCTAGAAGACTTAATGAGAAGACTGAGTGCTGTCTGCTTGGATATCCATTCTAGGGACTCTAGACTTTGGATTTGAGAGAGATTTGGTTTTTTCTTGACTAGGTCATGCTACAAAGTTCTCACTGGACCATTTCTGAAGGTCTCTTTGTCCTGGAGCTGGGGAGTATAGGTCCATCCAAGACAACTTTTGTGATCTACTGGTTGGGAGAAAATTCAAACCATTGATAACCTGCTTAGAAGAGGTATGGAATTGGAGAGTATGTGCTGTTTATGTAGGGAGGCACGTGAATTGGCCAGCGACTTGCTTATCCATGCCCTGTAATGTACTTCATATGGAGTCACTTTCTTTGGTTGTTCCTGAGATAGTGAGCAACTCCCCTAGTATGGCTGGCCTTCAGTTGGAGAGTGGGTAGATTCTCAGCCAGGGTAAGCTGCTGTGGAACTCTATACTCTCTATCATCTGCCAGGTTATATGGAAGGAAAGGAACAAAAGTTACAAAACAGTTTTTGAGGCCAAGGCCTCATCCTTGGAAGCTTTCATCAGAAAAGCAGAATGGACACTAGATCTATTCATGGGCAGTTCGTCAGGCTAAGCTTTACAATGGTTCAGGCTCACTGAGCCCATTCAAAATTTGGCAAAACATGAAACCAAGCGCAGCCTACGAACAGGCTTAATGGACACTAATGAGATGGGTTAGGGTCCTGAATATGTTCTCGTATGTGCAAATCAAGTGCTTTAGGAACCAGTGGAGTTATATCATTTTTTTGACATATTGTATGTGATTTGTGGATGCTTATAATCACACCTTTTTGTACATTTGTGAGGGTTTTCACCCTCCCTTGTCTCTAAACCTTCCTCAAAACCCACCATTTATCATAGTCGAACCCATTTGTCTATCATAGAGAACTTGGCATGAATGTATATTTCCCCACTTTATGATGATATAATTGTATTGCATACATATACTTGGGTGTGTTTATATGCATGGCCATTGGCCAAATACCCATTATATATATGTGTCCCTACATGGTTTGCATACATTAGGTACAATAAGCATGCAAATATCATGCATTAAACAAGTACATAAACCAATTTTATATAAATTTGTGAAAGATAAAAAAAATCTCAGTTTTCTATGTTGTTGCTGACAAGTTAAATAGATACTCCGTATCAGTTTCTAAGTTCATGTTTCAAAAGTTTTTTCAAGATTGAAAGATGGATTGATTGGAGCTGGTCCTACTAACAAATTTAAGAAAGTTTATAAGAAAAGAGATTCATAGAAGAAGATGGTTGTTGAGGTCCAGGAAGCCGAGTTTCAAGCTACAGGGGGTGGAGTTGCATTGGCCATCAGCTTCTGAGGAAGGTTTAGAGACAAGTTCAGAGCTTAAGGAAAAGGAGGAAGAGGGAGATTGAGAGAGTGAGAAGAATCTAAATGTGACATCATCATCCAGTGCAGAAGAAAAGGGGGGGAAGTGGAGATTGAGTGTTCGGCTGACAGGGATGTGAGGATTGGCAAGAGCTTAGTTTTTGTTTTGTTTTTTTTTTTTTTTTGTGGAGAGGAGTTCACTCTAAGGGCTTTCAAAGCGTTTAAAAAGGTGCAAGAGGGAAGAGAGTTTGAAGAAGACTATTGTTGGGGAAGGAGGAGAGGCATGGAACAAGGAAAGCAATGGGCAAGAGAAATATTTGAAGAAGATGATTAAAATCCTCTTGATTGAGGAGGCTTTCTTTTGTTCCCTTTAGTTTTGTGCTTTTGGAGTTATTGAAGTCTTGTTGTTGGGTGGGTGTTATCTTAACAGTTAACACCCGGTTGTTGCATGTAATCAGTTTTCTTTTTTAATAAAGACTTTCTTTATACCCTTCAAAGAAAAGTAACTTTAAGTGACTGCATTGATATTTATTGAAATTGTCAACTCTTCTGATGCTTCTCATGTCATGGCACTTACATTTAATGTACAGCATGACTGGTATGGGCATCTGAAAATGGGTGTTCTACCTGACAGATGTGTTGAAATGGACATCCACATGATATTTTGAGGGAACATTTCTCTTTATCGTCTTTATTATGTGAATAAAGAACCTTGAATTCTTAGGATAAATTTTGAATTTCCGATAATTGTAATTTCTTAAAATTTATTCTAGTTATATAGTGTTGTGTGCGTTAATTTATTCCTGTTTTTGTGTGTGTAAAATGAAGGAAAGTGAAAATTTCCTTGGAAAATTATATTCAGTAGACAAATGAATCATTAATACACGCATTCACAAATTCACAGTACTCTTTGAAGTGCTAATTTTTGTTTGTTTTTCAGGAGCAAAAACTCAATAAGTTGGTGATCGATCATGGCACTGCTAGAGATTTTGAGAGGCCATTCAGGTCACTTTCCACACAAGAGAAGGAACAAAAGCCCAGTGATAATCAAGGTAGTAATTGTAGCCCTTCCAAGTCAGATAGGACCTCCAATTTATCTGAGACAAGTACACCATTGGAGGAACAGCAAGGTACATTTTGATTGATCTACTTGCTAGTAAATGTTTGTAACATCGGTATCTATTCCTAAAGAATATTGAAAATTTTTGGATTTTATTGAGGCCCATCCACATGTATTCAAACAATGATAGTATGAAGTGGGTTGTAAATAGAAAGTTTAGTGTTTTATATGTTTTAATTTAGGGAATATCTATGATACCAGAAAGGTATAATAATACTATAAAAGCTTTAACCAATCAGAAACCCACTTGAATTTGAATGAATACCAGTTGGTTGGTTACCAATTGGATGATACCGGTTGATTGGTTATCAGATTTGTAGGTATGGTGTCATTTGACTATAGCTTTATATTGGGTACAGCTTTTTTAGGTCTGTACCTTTTCGGTATGATTCTGTACTGCCTCTCTTCATGCAAGTGTTTCTTTCTCAATCTTCCATCCAGGAGGAGATAATGCATAGTTGTCACCTAGGCGGTAAGGCGCTTTTGGAGGGTCACCTGGCCCAAATGCCTAGATATTTATATGCTAGACACTACATAATGTTTTTTGTATATTTTTTTTTAATGTTATTAATAGTAGTACAATTGATATTATTAAACTAAACTATTCATATTGTGGGTTTATAGCACTAATATTATTATTTCTTATACTAGTTTTTTTTATTATTTCTTATTTGGGTTCAATCAACACACGTCAGTCATAGGGTCCATTTGATAACAACTGAAGTTGCCAAACTGAAAAGACTTGCTGCTTTGTCCTGTAGTTGATAAAATAAATAAATAAATAAAACTTTTAAGGTTATAGTGATCAATCCAATTTCAGTTTCAACCATTAAGGAACCCACAACTTCCTTAAAAATTTGTTCACCAAAAGACAAAGCAATAAGCTTTTCAGTTCAGCTTTTTCAGCTGTTATCAAACAGCCCCATAGTCTTTGACCCTTTAAGACTTTAAAACCTGAATTGATAAGTAAGAAGTAATTTGAAGATTTTATCCAATTGGCACACAAGAACAATCAATAGGACTCCATCATCATCTTCTTCCTAGGACCAAAACAAGGGCTCAGCCGCTCAGCCTTATGGTTTGTATGTTTTCTTTCCTTTCTTCTTTTTCATAAATATGCTGATTTTCTATTTTTTGATATGGGGTGCATATTTCATGAGGACTATGGTAATTAGTACTTAAAGATAATTGCTTATTAGTTATTACTATGAAAGTAGGGAACTATCCTAGGATTTATATTTTTTTATTATAAAATACTCATTGTCTTGGTGCCGTCTAGGTGACAAGGCGCTCCCCTATCACCTAGCTTTGCCTTGGTGCCTTGAAAACTATGAGATAATGTTAGAAGACATGCAACGAACTCCATGTGTCTTATGCCTGCCTCACAAAACTCTTGTGGTTCAACCGTTCAAGTGCATAAATGGAAATTTACACAGTTTTATATCCAACAAACCCATGCAAATGCATGGGGATGAATAGAAATTTGGTTAGGTTTGAGTTGGCAAATTTAGATTTTGACATCGATATGGTTCCGAGCCAAGGTTCATGTTCAAGGTTGGCCTATTGTTGGTCCTTAACCCTACACATCTATCTAATGTATACCCATGTTTTATTAAAGAGGGTCAAAAAAGTTTCAAAGATATTTAATAGGAAATAAGGGATTTAATAGAGGGAGGGGAGATGTCACAAATATTGACTATTGAAGAGAACGAGGGATTAAGAATGATTTTATTAGAGAAGAGTATTGATAGATTTTAATAGAGAAATTTAAGACATGAGAGGGTTTTTAATATTTCACATGTGTGGAGGAGAGAAGGGGAGACTAGGCCTATGGCGAGAGACCCTTGGCCTCCATGTCTCCTCATATCATAGTTTTATAACTTTTACTCTGTTTTAAAAAATGACCCAGAACCGGAACTGTTCTGGCCATCAGTTTTTGGGTTGATGGTTTGATCATCCGGTTTGAATGAACAGCCTGTTTTGATAAAAAAAGAAAAACAGTCAAAGCCATTGAACAGGTCAAATGGATTAATGGTTTGACCACCCAGGTCAATGAGTCGTTGACCGATTCAATGGTTTTTGGTCAAAGACTGGGTTTAGGGTAAAACGGAACCAGTTGCTTAAACGGTTCTCGGGCTGAACAGTCTGACCAACTGGGTCAATGGTGGTTCAAAAGCCATGCTTTTACAGTTTTACTCTCTGCTATAGACCCCATCTTTAAAGATAAGTCTACTATATTATTCCTTCTTGGCAGTACATAATTTATATTCAACCCAGCATTCAGGACTTCCATACGAATTTCAAGCTAGGATTTCTCCAAATACCAAAACCGTAAGATTTGGATTGGTTGTTGATCTCTTCGCCTTCTCTACTTATTTCAAGGTGGTTTTTATTCAAGGTTCAAAATATCGATATAGGCTGATACACCCTGCCTGTCTGTCTGTATTGGTGTTTTTTTTTATGTTTTATTCATTTTTTTTTCAAAACTAGTTCAGAGGGGTCGGTTTAAATCCCGATTACCCTCTCAACCGTGGTCTGACCCTATATAACCCCTGCAGGAGGATCATGCACATGAGTATACTGCTTCAGGTGCCGGTTTCTCATTCAGTGTTTTCTCATCCAACTCACCTTTCTGGGATTGGTTTATCGAGTGGACATGTTTGGTAGGTTTACGGGCTCTGCATTATCTGACTATTTTTGAAGAGTTGGGATCTTTTGTCAATAAAATACATTCCAACACTCTATCAACATGATCTGACACGGTATATCTCATCATGAGACTGGAATCTAATATAAAAGTGTTGTAAATTATTTTGTTGTCAGGTGGTCCGGACTCATTTTTTTGATGAATCTGCATAGGCTGATTTAACCGATTGGTCCGGTTCAATTTTTGCATTTCACGTGGTGGTTAAGGAGGTTAGACCACACGATAATGTGGAGTGCTGGAAAGCCTAATCGAATCTGGTTTCCCTTTGTGAAAACCAAATCACTGTGTACTCCATAATTATGACACGGAATGACAGATTAGAAGCAAAGAAACTGATAACAGCACACAAGGAAAAATAAAAAACTCGTGGCAAAGAAACTGGTCCGAACTCTGAAGTACGTTATTCTCAAATCAAGTGAAATAGGATTCGGAAGATGGGGTTTTATTTATATCTGATGTTTTGAAAGTGTGGAAATGGATTAAAAATCATATATCTAAGCGGATAAAGGTCATTACCTAATACTGGTGCCGGTTACTCGGGGTCTGAAATTGGAACACTGATCCTATTTTCAGATATAGGGAAAATTTTCAAGTAGTATCCCGTATTTTGGGCCTAGTGCTATTTTGGTCCCTAAATTTTAAAATGTAACAATTTAGTATCCGAACTTTCAAAATGTGTCAATCTGGTACGTTCCGTTAATCAGCCATTAAAGATCCATCAAGTGGAATTTGAAAAGATACATGCCCTTTAAGTGTCATCTAATTTTCTTTATCAACCATTCAAATGTTCACAAAAAATGAACAACCCCAAATCCTTGTCTCTTCTAATCAAGAAAGTTGGAGTCACTTCTCGGTGGGCATTCTGGTGACCCCAACTTTCTTGAAAATTAGATGAAACTTCAGGTACTGAGTTGAAACTTGAAGGACATTTGTATCTTTTAAAACACCACTTAATGGCTGGTTAACAGTTGGTAATAAATTGGCACATATTGAAAATTCAGGTACAAAGTTGTCACGTTTTAAAGTTTGGGGATCAAAGTATCACTATGCCTAAAGTACATAATATTAATCGGAATTTCCCTATATTTTATTCATCTAAAAGAAAAACCTCCATCTATATTTTTGCACGATGTCACTTCTCTTCGATTCTAATTTATATTCACATGATTGTCAGCGCAAGGTTTTAAGGTGTTTGGTTCTATTGCGTTTATTTATTTGTTTAAAAACAGCATTGTGTTTTTTGTGATTTTTGAAAAAAAAAAACCTTTATACATGGTGCAGTTTGGTTTCATTGTCATTTTCTGAGATATGGGAACTTGGCCCGGAACCAAATAGCTCATCACATCGGCAAAAAATGGTGTTATTTGAGATGGGCTGTTTTTCAAGAAAACGTCTTACCAAACAGCATATGTCAATGTGTTTTTTTTTTTTTCTTCCAATTTTTCAAAACCTGACGCGACTCCAATGTGGTGGCAATGGAACCAAACACTACTTTTATAATTGCATCAATCAACGGTCATCCTTTACCCCATAAAAAAAATCAACGGTCACTCGAGTACAACCAAATTAATAATATCTGATGGGCTAGTCAGACACAAAACCAAAGATTATAATCCAGAATTAGAAAGATGAAAGCTAGTTTCATGATTTAGTCCCTTTATCAAATATCAACCAAGTTCAATAATCGGATTCCGACCAGATTGAATATAACGTCCCGCTGGCTCTATTGTTTTTTAACAAGAAATAGAACGCTCTTAAGACTTTTCCAGCCTATCTAGAAACTAAGGCCAGGCCAAGGTTCAAACTGTAGGGCCAGAATTTGGCTGGGCTCAGTCCCCAGCATGACCTTGCACGAGGGCTAATCCTGTTCTAGCTCCAAAGGTTGATTTGGACACTTGTCCTGTACCTAATTAGAGATTGGAGGCTAGTCTGAATTTGCACAGATCTGGCCCACTACAACAGAATTATTAGTATCTCATTAACGTTAGCCTATAACAAAATTCTTCGAGGGGAACAAGAGAAGACATCTCATTGACGAAAGTGCTATTCAACACCAGCAACGACATTTAATATATAGAACAAGGTTCTTAACTACAGCTCTTTTTTTTTTCGTGAGAATCCATGCCAGATATCTCGGCTACAGCTGCAAATCTGCAATTTTCTTCAAGTTTCACCCCTAGGCACAGCACTAGACTGTTCACAGGCTGGGCTTCAAGCTTGGCCCATGAACATTTTATACAGCTTTGGGCTAGGACTTCGACAGGGTCCAGTCAAATTTTGGCAAAAACTAAGCCCGAGCCTGGCCATGAACAGGTCTACCAGGCATTCCATATATTTATCCTTTGTGGTTGCCTCGACCACAATTCCTCCTCATAACAGGCCCCTGTAAGTCAAATGAGTGATTATTAGAAAATGCAAACGCGCCACATTTGAATTACTCTCCACACAATTTCTCCAGAAGATAAGCTCCTCGACTCCAATGAATTTATAGGAATCTCGTCTGCTTGACCAATCATGCAAACAAAAATTGCTTGTTAAATATACTCGGATTATCACTTCCAAGGGATTCAAAGCTGATTATCCATCACATATGGGTGATTAGGTTACAGTTGCTTAGTTTTCAGTCAAAATCGTTTTCATCGCCACTGCTATCCCCAAACATGGCAGCCACTTTCATAGCTAACTTTGCAGCCATTTCCCTCCTTTGGAAATCGGGCATCAACCGTAAGCTGGCACGCATATTCCCAATTTCAGACATTAACTGTTCCAAATCTTCCAACCCCAAATGAGTTCCATCGTCTGCCATCACGATATTTTCAGTTTCTTTGGATTCAGTTGTCAGCTCCTTTTCAGAAACTTGTTGTGAAAGAGGCTCAGCTGTTGAAGGCTGCAGCTCATCCCTATTTTCATTCACTTCATGTTCTTGATTGTGTTCTTCAACTGCTACACTCTTGGTAATCGGTTCTCCTTTATCCGGATCTGTATCCGTACCTGCACCATCCGCACAGACCCAAACTTTCCGTTCAGAAACTGCCTCCAGATAAGGTTCAGATGTTGAAAGTTGCAGCCCATCATTTCCATTCACTTTATTTTCTCGATCATGTTCTCCAACTGCCATGGTCTGTGTAACCAGTATTTCTTTATCAGTATTTGTACTTGAACCATCTGCAGAGACCCATACTTCTGTTTCATCCCAAGGTTCGGCTGAACCCGCAGACAAGATTTCATACTCAATCTCATAATCGGACTCTTCTTCTGATAAATCTGGAGCACAAAGATATAAAAAGTATCTCAGCAGACAGAGAGAGAGAGGGAGGGAGGGAAGGAGGGGGGGGGGGAGAGGAGCAGCCTTTACCTCCTTTCTCAAATGGGCATGGTTCAGCTATCTTACTGCCAGATTTAAGGATCATCCCAGGCCATATATGAGCAGAAAGAGCCCCATAGAGTCTCTCAACTCCTTGTGAATCACCATTAACTGACAAACCTGTCAAACCACCATTTTTATTCCATGGGTATGAAAGATGACAGTTCAAAAAATATGTAAAACCAAATAAAATGTGACCAGACAGTGAAAAAGAAACTATATCTCTCTTCAAATAAAACAAAGTGAACTGTCAGTGAACCATTGCAAGGTAACGTAAGGATGCAAGTCCAAGCTCAAGGTATTGATGCTTGCGATTTCATCCAGATTCCTAAACAGGACAAAGTTTTACGGAACTAATCTTTTATTATCATATATATTGCCATTACGCATTTAACTTTGCATCACATTTGTTTGGAAGCATGGAGCTACCATACATGGAGTCGTTTAAAATACACCACACCATGAAAACGTTTGATACATGGTTCATGGTGTAGCATATTTCCAACTGTACTCTGTGTATCATGGACTGAATTTGAATATCTCGCAATATACCGGCCATGTGATTTCATCCACGCCAGTGTGGGCCAGTACATTTGATGTTCAAAAACGTATTGGTGTAAAAGAGACTATTGTTAAACTCTCACTAGTAACAGTCACATACTGGAGCAATCTGCTGTCACGTTTTCCATTCCATTTCTTCTTCGAGTTTCCCATTAGAGAAAGGTATGCTCTTCCATTGTTAGGTATGCTCTTCTTCGAGTTTCTCAGTCTTAAAGGTGTCTAGTGCATTTTCTTTTATTATTAATTTTTAAATTCTCCATACCTTGACCCATTGTCCAAGAAAAGTAGGATACTTGGAATTCTTTTTATTTATAGCCTATTTTCTTTTGTTCTTTTGTGATCCAGGAATTTAAAAGGGTTATGACTGAACTTGCAATGACATGGATAAACCCAAAACAAAAGCTCTTGGTTGGAAAATACAGAGTGTTGCATGGTTGAAGCAAAGCTACAATCATTAAGGAATGGCTTTAATGTTTAAATGGATCAACAGCAAGTTCATACATAGGTTGCAGTGTGCAGTTCTACATTATTAAGAAGATAATTGAAGCAAACTATAATCATTTGCAGGGGAAGTTTTAAAATCTGTCAGTAAAAGTCAAATGGAGTTTTAGAAAAATATACAACTTTGTTTGAAAGTGGAAGAAATTCTGCCAATGCTCAAATATATTTCAAAATCTTGATAGTTAAACCTTGTCTAAACTTACTTAATTTTTATATGCATGATCTATTGAATGAGACCTATCCAACTGAGATTAAATGATGACAGTGTCTTTCTCTTGTTATAGTTGCAAATAGCAGCAGAAATGGTCCAAAAATCTCACCTTTTTGTTGCTGCAAATAGCAGCAGAAGCTCACTAAAAATTCTCAAACCTAATGCAGCGAAGGCTTTCCTTCCCCTCTTGTCCTCTCCCTCTGCTACTGCAATTTGCAGCAGAGAGAAGACCTAAACTTGTCTTTAACCTTCCCCTTCTGTCTCTCCTTTTGCTGCTGCCATCTCTAGCAGACAACCTGCCCCAAGATCCTATATCTTCCCCAAATCTCAAACCCAACTATGAAGAACATTCAAAGAGAATCATGATTGCAGATTTACTTATCTGCATTAAGTACAAGTTTTCAATCCCTAATTACTTATTGATCTGGATTATTCTAATTTGTGGCTGAGAAATTGCTTGGCAGTTAATAGAAAAATTTGTTACTGACATCATGATAGATGTAGGTAATTTCCCACAATAAAATGACTTCTTGCATTTGGGAATATCATGCTGCCAATGTGGGATTAAATGCCAAATGGGTTCAAGTTACATGTAAAGAATCACACCTTGGGCACCCCTCTTGAAAGAAAAGCTTTAATCATATAGGGAATTGCTTTAGTAGTTGAATTATAAATGTATTTCAAGACGAGTATATCCCTTGAGATATTGATAATTAGAAGTAAAAGCAACTTACAACTGCATACTCCACATTAAAATGACTAAACAAATATCATATTTAGCTCACAGAAGAAAAACAATATTGAGTTGTGATTCAACATAAGAGTTAATAACTTACATCTGTCAAAATCAGCATTAGATGCACAAGCCTCAATGTACTCAATGTTGTATTGACAGCACCATTCCAGACATGATCTCCTAATCTCCCATGAGGGCTCTTCATCCCCCAGCAAACTACTACCCTCAGTTTCTAGAATTCCATAATCTAAGCACTCTGCATGTGGATCACTAAAAGATTCTCCACGCTTCTGCAGGTGTCTTCTATATTCAGTATGAGCAAAGTGACCAGGTAAAAGATCTACTTTGTTTCCAATGCATAATAATATGTCAAACTTCTGAATATCATTGCGAGAAACCCAGTGCTGGAGAGCGGTAAAAGATGCTAGCTGTAAATCATATCAGTACAAGAAAGATTACGTAAGAGACCACACAAATAGAGGTTTTCCCATATGGAGATCAAATCTTCAGAAATAAACCAAAGAGAAAGGAAACAGAAAGACTAACATCGCTCGTGTCAAAAACCATCACCAGGGCAGCCAACTGATTAGATATTGGCCACATCCCAACAGAAAACTCCTCATCAAGATGAGCCATCCATACAGAAACATCAGCTGTATAATACTTTGTATCAATAGTCCACCTGGTCAGTAATAACCATGTATTAGCACTTCAGATGCAAAGTTTCCTCATTTCAAAGAAAGTATAAACTATTACTACTGCAATACCAAGGTTCCAAACTATAAAACACATGTGAAATACCCTCTTGAGTAGAGAAACCTTAATTTACATACCCATGGAAAAATAGTTCGGATGAAGAACCAAAGGCATCTTCAAAATCCACAGAGAGAAGCCCTACATTCAAGAAAAAAAAGGAAAAAATGCACTAAGCCTAAACATGCAATAAGAAATAAGAAACATTGCTGCAACAAATAAAAGTATTTTTTGGTGAATAAAAATACTTAAATTCTAAACATCTAACCAGTTGACTGGGTGGAAAGAAAAATGCCAACTAATCAATGACTAATTGGCACTTTGACCATGTGGCAGATAAAGTTTCTAGATTTCATTAACCACTTGCACGCACATAGTTTCCTGTTTTTCCTTCTATCAACATTATCCAATTATGTGCTTGTATAAACAATTCAGTAATGAAGAGAAGCAGGGCCAAAAAACAATGAAATGACAAAGCTTTTGTAGGGCAAGGGGTCATTGCTTGGAGCAGTGGAAAAAGCTAGGGCTGACAAGCATGAGTACAAGGATTCAAATTTGAAAGCAGCTACTTCATATAAGAAAATGGCAAAGGTTAGGTCCATAGCAATACACCCTTCCAAAGATTATCACCCTAGATGATTTGGACAACATTGGGTAATGGCCCTTACTATGTTTTGTAGGGCAATGATACCTAATGAAATCCTAAGCAGTGCATTTGTTATAATCTTTGGACATGCAAAAAATATGGGGGATAGTTAAGAATATACTAAAAGGGCCTATGTTCCACTTGCAGCAAAGACAATTTTTCCAAAGCATGATAATTATCTCCTTTACATTAAAAGTTAATTGATCTCAACGCTTGAGTCTAGGAAATAAGAATGCTTGGCAAAAAGGAGGTAAAAAAGTTGGGCCACCCAATTCCAACACAACTCCAAGTTTTGAGGTTAAGTTAGGGTTAAGATTGGGGGTTCAATAGCTCAGATTGGGTTAAGGTTGACCTCAACCCAACCTAACCTGGCCCAACTTGCATCCATCCTGATGAAAGTGCTCATCTCAACAGCTATGTACCAGGAGGGGTTGTGTTTAGCAAATGATGAATTAAGCATTATCAATCAAAAAAGGGAATTAAAACCAATGCTTTGTAGGACCCAAGCAATGATAAGTTACTTGGCAAGTCACGAGGTAAGAAGTACTTAATTCATAAATGATAGTAAAAAATTATGGAAACAAATGTAGTTACCACATTATAGTAACTAGAGTCTAGAGAGTGGCATAATAATCTAAAGCATGCCAAATATGGAAATACCAGGATTTGAAGCATATATTCATATTTTCACTGACCACCATTGCAATACATAGTTCTTATTCTACTAAATTCCTAAAGTTCTACAAAGAAAGAATGAAAAGAACCAAATAATCAATACCTGCATACAGCATGTATTTCCAAAACAAAGGTAGAAGTTTGAGAGAAAGCACAAACCAAAAAACCTAAGTTCCTGGTTGCTTAAACTAATAGAAAAAACATTGGATCCATCTGCCAATTAATCCGGTAAAGAAAAGAGAAGTACTATATACCTATGAATAAGAAGTTAGAGCAGGACGCACAGTGAAGGTCAAACCAAACAAAACAGCTCATAACAAAAATAAAAACATAACTGAACGTTACTTGCATGTTTTAATGTGAATTAGATTGTTTCTCTGGAAGATATCCATTAGGTCGAAAAAGAGGCCACAAATCACAAATGCAATGCACTCAAAAACAATGCATTCTTATTGTTTTTGAATTTTCTGTTTCATTTTGTTGTCCTTGAGGGGGGTTAATCAATCAAAAGGAAAGAGATACTAATTTCGAACTCTTGTGTTGGACCAAAAGCCACTGCTTTAAGTAAAAAAGGAAAAGACAAATAAATAAATAAAATATATTTCCAAGTAGATTTTTATTTCCAGTAAGTTTCGTTATAGACAATAAAAAAAAACAGTGTATGAAGCCACAAAATTACAACCCAAACTCAATGATTCCATGTTTCAACAATCCAGTAACGGAGAGCAGCACCCATGCACCAAGAATATCTAAAATTAAATGCAGAACAATTCGTAAATTGCAAACTTAAAATGTTCAATCAGCTTAAGATCAGTTCCACGAGAGTAAAAGCAAATGACCGGAATAAAAAAAAATCCAGACATCTGAATTTTACCACTGACTGTAATTGAATTCGATTGCCATGAAAAAGCAAAACCAATTAGATTACAAAGAAAACTGCCAACAAAATCAACAGATAGGTGTCAATTACAAAAAGGAAAACGAAACAATTAAAGCCCCTAGATGCCATCAAATGGTTTAGATTGCCGCGCGCGGGGGGGGGGGAGAGAGAGAGAGAGAGAGAGAAAGAGAGAGAGAGAACTGGAGAGAAGTGTCCGCTTGCCAACGTTGGAGGATCCAATGACAAAGATACCAGGCCTATTCTCCAGAGCAATCCTATCGAGTTGCGGAGCCATTTCTCTTCCCATCTTCTCGCGCGAAATATCAAAACCCTAACAAGCAGACGTAGATCAGCAGGTCAGCCACTTCTTTTTTTCCTTTGTGTGCTGCCCAGAGAAAGATCTCCCGACTGTTTCTTTTGTAAATTGTAAATAGTCGACCGGTAGTCTCACACTCTCACCTAATTCACCCTAAGCCTGATTCCTGGACATGATCCCCTTTTTTAACCGACCATTAAAGTGAAATGTGAAAAGACACAAATGTCCGTCCATCTCGGTATTTCGTCAAATCCCGGTCCTAATAATTTAATAACTCAATCATACAAGATAAATTAATCAGCACTAGGGCTGGAGACCTCTATTCTATTCTCTATTATCAGACAAATTGTCGTTATTAAATCAAAGCCAATTGCAGAGCAGAGCTACGGATCAGCGAGTAAAAAGAAGCGAATGAAAAGAGTCCTAAACCCAGATTTCTGAGATCGAAAATTTCCTTTGGGGTCTTTTGTTTCTTGGTTGTATTTCGAGATGAAGAGAGCATTTGTCATCGGCAAAGATCTGACGGTTGATGATGAGAAAAGGAGAAAAAAGAAATGAAAAGAAGAAGAGGAGGAGAGTAGTCAGGAGATTGGGTTTTCTATGAGAATCTAATATTGATCACACTTGATCAAATTGTGGTGATCAATGGTTAATATTACATCAAGTAAATCTATATTCTCCTCTATTATTTCTAAGGAGTATAAATCAGTTTCTATTAAAATAATGAAAATAAAGCTTATAATTTTTCAATGTGGGACAAGTTCAAAACTGAATTTTATAAGAGAATAACTAATTTTTCAATCAAGTGTACATGTGCAATTTATCATGTAATTGATTAATCAAACACATTGGATTTAATCTCTCCAACATTTCCTATTAGAAACAAATGAGAATCCTTAAAAATTGTCCTCTTTTTGTGTTGATAAAGGCTTTATTTAAGTTAAATTCATTGATTTTTAGCTTAAAAATCTCAAAAGTTCAAGACGTTCTCTTAAAGATGGATTTGTCGATTTGCAACTTCATGTTTTCAGAAACCCATAAATATCATTCCAAAAATAGAATATTTTCGTTCTCAGATTCCCAGTTCCACTGTAGACGTTCTCCCACTTATTTTGGGAGTGAAATGGATACAAAAACTCACCCCAAGTTTGGTTTTCCTGCCACTGTATTTAGGTTCATATGGTGCCGGTTTTTTTTTCCATTTTCTCACCGTTTTTTACAACTTTTACATTCATTCACTGTCTACAGTCGTCGAAGACTTTTCCGACATGTTTTTGGCCTGAATGGGACAGAAAGGCCGGCCGTAGAACTCACTCCACGGTGGGTTAACGTCGACCGTATCGAATACCACTGTTCATCTATTCGGGTTGGATTATGTGCATTCTTACATAGATCCAACCCATTATTAAACCAGCCCAGTTTAGACTTCTTGAACTGATGTAGATGACTACATAAAATGATAATTAATAATAATTTAATATTAATTACTTTAATTAATAATTGATCATTAATTATTAATGATATTTAAAACCGATCTACACCGGTTTTATTAATTGTTAATTAATTACATTAACAATTAATTAACGTATTTAACTAAGTTAACTAATAATTAATTATTAATTCATAACTAAATAACTATTAATTATATTACTTAATAAATAATCATCACTTATTAATAATAAGGGAAATTGTCTAAAACTCATCATGAATTTTCAGCATTTCCCTTAAACTCACCACAACTTTTTAAAATGTCTAAAACTCACAATGTCAGTAACATTTTATTTTCCAAAACTCACCTTCCCTTAGTGCATCATTAATGCTTCTTAACGGAGGTGTCCATGTCAGCATAAATAGCAATCTTCATGACCAAATTACCCTAGAATGGCGAGTTAGAGGAAAAATGGTCCTTTTCAGTTTTCAATTTTCTTTTTTTTTGCATTTTTAATATTTTGTTATAATTTTCAATGTTTTTTATAATTTTTGTTTTTTTACATTTTTCTATTTTCTACGATCTATAAATTTTTCTGTATTTTTTGTTATTTATTTGTGATTTCTGTGTTTTTTTATAATTTTTGGGGTTTTTTCTACAATTTTTATTTTCTGATTTCGTTTTTCAATTTCTATTTTCTATAATTTGAAAATAATTTTTGAATTTAAGGTTAAAATGGTAATATATTAACACCCGTTAGTCTGTTTAATGTCAAGTTAGTGACATGGTGAGTTTTAGACATTTTGAAAAGTTGTGGTGAGTTTAAGAGAAATGCTGAAAACTCATTGTGAGTTTTGGACAATTTCCCTTATTTTTACTAAATACTGAAAATAATTACCAACGTAATATTTTAAATTAAGTAATAATATTTTATTACTGAAAATAATAATATTTTCAGTAATATTATAAATTCAGACTTATTGTAGCAAATATTCAATATTATAATATTATAATATTTAATTATTCAGTATAATAATTAATATTATTATTATTGAAAATAAATATAAAAAGTAAATATTCAATAATCATTATTTATTCAAAATGTTTATAAATATTGAAATTTTGGTTATTATTATTAAGGAAATTGTCCAAAACTCACAATGAGTTTTCAGCATATCTCGTAAACTCACCACAACTTTTCAAAATGTCTAAAACTCACCATGTCACTAACTTGACGTTAAATGGACTAATGGGTGTTAATATATTACCATTTTAACCTTAACTATAAAATATATACAAAATAAATTAACGGGTGTTAATATATTATCGTTTTAATATTTAGACATGAAAAAAAAAGAAAAAATTCAAAAATTATTTTCAAATTATAGAAACTATAGAAATTGAAAAATGAAATAAGAAAATAAAAATTGTAGAAAAAACACCAAAAATTATAAAAAAGCATGGAAATTACAAATAAATAACAAAAAATACAGGAAAATTTATAGATTGTAATATAAAATGTAAAAAAAAAAAACAGATTATAAAAAACATTGGAAATCATAACAAAATACTAAAAATGCAAAAAAAAACAATAAAATTGAAAACTAAAAAAGACCATTTTTCCTCTAACTCGCCATTCAAGGATAATTTGGTCATGAAATTCGTTATTTATGCTGACATGGACACCTTTGTTAAGAAGCATTAACGGTGCACTAACGAAAGGTGAGTTTTGGAAAATAAAAACTTGCTGACATGGTGAGTTTTAGACATTTTGAAAAGTTGTAGTGAGTTTAAGGGAAATGCTGAAAACTCATGGTGAGTTTTAGACAATTTCCCTAAAAATAATTATCTACAATAAGTCAGACTTTTCAAATTTTCACATTTTTTTATAAATTAATGTAATTACTGTAAAAGTTAATTATTGTATATATTCCAAGAAAAAAGTTAAAAACTGAAAAATGATAACTAATTATTTTGAAACCTGAAATATATATATTAAATGAAGACTTTCAGGCTACAATCCCCCACTATCCAGACACGTGGCATTTTCAAATTTAAACACATGACATTTTTTTTTTTGGAGAAGTTATTGTTAAAACATTTTCTAGAAACCTAGACACATGACAATTTATAAGAAATTCTTGCTAAAGGCCACAAACCACAACCATTCAGACACATGGCCTTTTCATTTTTCTGTAAAGCTAGACACATGACATTTTTTGAAAAGTTGCCGCTAAAGCTCACAACCCATTACCACCATTTTCAATCCATTCCTAAAAAATGCAGAAAATGCAAAAGTGGTTATCCACAACCACTTCTACCTACATTCTATCAATCTCATTTAATCATTAACCCTCTAAATATCCTAACAAAAGAAAACTATCTATATTCTAATAATTATTGAAAAGCTATTTTTTGAAATTTTAATAATTATTTAAAATATTAACAAATATAAAATAAACATTACTGATTTCCCGTACTTAGTACAGGGTCATTCACTAGTATATAATATAAAATAAACATTACTGATTTCCCGTACATTCTATCAATCTCATGCACTTTACCAATAACCTAAATTATCTCTTCTCCTAAAGTTTATCCTAAACTACCTCTCCCACTTTCTCCAAAATTATCTCTAATTCCTATTTATCTCCAAACTTATCTTCAATTTAGTAGAGAGTTTTTCTCCTAAATTATCTGTAATTCCTATTTATCATCCCCCCTACTTTTTATCTATATCTATTTAAAGAAAGCTTGGATTAAAAATTTAAGAATTATTTAAATATTCTAACAAAATTATATAATAACTTCAAAATATTTATTATAAACACAAAAAATAATTCTATATTTTTACAAAATATATCACAAAATTATGTACTAAAAATTTAAATTATGTTTTTTCTGGATTATCAATTTAAATGTTCTTCAAATATTTAATAATATGTAATAGCTTTAAATAAATAAAATTCAAATAACAAAAAATTTTAAACATTTTATAGATTATTTAAATAGTTAAATAACTAAATATTTATCATAACTAGATTTTAAATAGTTAAAATAACGAAATTATGTAATAAATTTAAAAAAATTCGTCAAAGTAGAAAAACAATTATAACATAATATTGAAATTAGAAGTAATTTAATATGTTATAAAATTAACAATGAAACTATGTAATAATAGTACAAATTATGATTTTATGGATAATTAAATTCAATAAACAATTAATATTTTACATATTACTTAAGTATTTAAATAACAAAATATTTAACATAACTAGATTTTAAATACTTAAAATAAATAAATTAGGTAATAAATTTAAAAATTCTGAAAAGTATAAAAATAATTATAACATAATATTGAAATTAATAATAATTTAATATTTTTACATGATATTTTAAATAACTAACTTCACTTATATCAAGTAATAATTCATGAAAATAACTTTCAAAAAATAATATTTATTAATAATAATTTTAAACTCTTAATCTACATTTATTATATAATTATATATATACTAAAATTAGTATTTATTGTGTTTCAGTAATTATTTATTGTTTTTATGATAAATGTATTTTCAATGATTATGTATAAATTTATTTTGTTTTTTTATTTAGCAGAAAACTTTAAATAATTATTAGAGATTAAACTACTATTATTGAAAGTTTTAAATTTAATTTATTGTACTTATTTTATTTATTGTCTTTTTATTATAACTTATTCATTAATAT